CCCAGAGCCTGGCCGGGGCATAGCTCTGCCATCTCACTGCCTCCCGCACACCCCAGAATCCCAGGACGACTCCAGCCTGTGGCAGAGGTAGGCACTGAGCACAGTGACAGGAAGCACAGCAGTGTTCCCTCACCACTGGGGAATAAAAGTATTCTGAAGGGAGTAACCTTGGTATCATACTGCAAAACACCTTCACGTGCAGCCCCGGTGGGTGGAAATGGAAAGGCTGTTGGGTTGGTTGCCCTTATTGCAGGGCAATACATTTTGCCCGATCCTTATTGCATTTACTGAGTTAAGCAAAACAGTTAACTCAGTTCTCCACATCCCTGAGCACTTCCTTGGGTAAGACATTGGAGAGAGTTTCCTATGTGATGTGTTAGGGTGTGAATGCATGTGAATGGAGACAGGCTTACCCTGGTCAGCTGTAACATCACCTCCAGGAGAAGGAGAGGGCAGCGACTGCTCTTTCATCAGTGCTCACTCCTCTCCCTTTTCCCTTTTTCTATCTCATCCAGAATACTGGTGTCAGGACGGCTGGAGCAGTGAACGTCTTGAAGCCAGGCTGCTGTGGGCACTCATGAAACACTCTGTTCCTGGCTGGCTCCAACCTTCACAGGGGACTGGATGGCCTTCATCAACCGAAAACCCATTCACGGCCACAGGCAGGGTCTTGGTTCCTCTCCTCCAGCCTATCCTGTTTCCTATGTGACTCAACAAGCTGCAGTCAGGCTTGGCAGGAGTGCCCCCAGGAGCTGCACTGGTACATGCCAAGCTGAACTCAACCCTCACTGCCAATAGCCTTTTCCTTATAGGAGTGACTTGTTTATACGGTATTTAAATATTACTGTGCAATATCCAATGCCAGGATGGGATGATGGGAATTTCACATGTTTCTAATCAGTTATTTGAGTGTTCCCAGGGAGGACAAGTTTGCGAGTGCAGGTGCTGGCTTTGATGGGCTTTCATGTAAGACCCAGCCCTGTTGGTTTCCTCAGCCTACCCACACAGCTGCAGGAGCATAGGTTGGTGCTATACAGAAACCATTGCCTCTTGGGAGAGCAGAAGGCAGCTGTTGAAAACTTTCTTTGGCTTATTCTCAGTTTACAGTGGGTGGCAAATGAGGCCACAACAGGGAGCAAACCATGAAAATATTCCTGGTTAATTTGTGGGTCACTGTGGATTTTGATTAGCTTTAATAGAGTGGATTATTTTCCCCATATAACCATCTTCACCAACAGCGCTGCAACCTGCCTGTCCTCCAGCACTCACTTGTCTTGCCTCAGTGCTGTAAGACAGGAAAGCATCCCCAGTGCAGCCCATGTGCTCTCATCCGTGGCATTGGGACACAGTCAAGGTACGACAGGTAAATTCTCTGACAAGGGCAAATAGCCAGAAGGAAGCTCAGCAAAAGCCAGTGCTGAAACCTTCTCCCCAACATGCGGTACCGTGGATCAGTGATATTTTCGCATGTGCCTCCTCAGGCTTCAGTCTGTGCTGAGCAGTAGTTCAGCATGGGCTGTCTGCTCCTCATCCCAGTGAGAAACCTACCCTCAAATTGCCCAGGTGGTAAACAGCAGAAATACTACTGCAACACATGGTGCTTTTGTAAGGCAGCTCATTTACTCCAGGTTTTTTCTCCAGTATATGGATGGAGAGAGCTGTCTCTGTGCACTTTAAGCAGCTGATGGTTCTGACCCTGAGGACCCTCCCTTATGACTTTCTTCATTTTTCTTCCTTCTAATAGTTCAGGCTTTTTTACATTGTTTTTTTCCTCAGGATTTTAAATTAAGACCTTTTGTTATGCCAGATTTTTTCCTTTTTTTTTTTTTTTTTTTCTTTTCCTTGAAATGATTTCCTTGGAGAACACAGGGAATGCTGGAGCTATGGTTACAACAGTTCTGTTGTGTCTGATTTATTATGGACAAATCCTCAGTGGTTGCTGTTGCACATGTGAGAAACTCTGTTATTGGCATAAAGAAAAGACTTGTATGATGGTTCTTTCCCAAAGCTCCACTGATTGGAACCCCCCCCTCCCCAAAATATAACAAAACAGATGAACCCCAAACACTCATTAAATGTGCAATTGTATGTAGCAGTTAAATGACTTAAACCATACTAGTTTTTGCAACTTTACTACCTCTTTCTCCACAAGGAAACAGTACACATGGTGTGGCTTGAATTTCTCATTGATTATTCCTTGTTTTGACCATTTTGTTACCTTCTATATGCCTGGAAAACAAACCAACCTATAATACTTGTCTCTGAAATAAGGGATGGCAAGTGAAAAGACATCAGCTTTCTAATCTTTTTATGTCTTTTTCTGTAGTTGGACTATATTGCATATAAACAATCTGTAATCAAACAACCCCCAAATTTGCTGTTTCTTGGGGTGCAGCTAATGTTGCTACATAATGGTATGTTTTACTGCTCACAGGTGGAGCAGTAGGCTGGGCACATACTGTACATACACTGTAGTACAGCTTCAACCACAAGAACTTGATCTTGTATCTGAGCCCTCACTGAAGACAGCAGTAGCATTCTGCTACAATCAGTGATCTTTATCAAATGGCCACCAAAAAAAGTTCACTAAAACTATTTTCACTCTATTTTATGTGATCAAGCTTTTAAAAATGCCTAAAGCTCAGAGAACATCTGCGTGTGCCCGAACTAATGGAAAACCTTATTGCTGGAATATCACAAAGTCTCCAAAAGGTAGTTTTAAGTAAATTGTTTTAGGTTTTCATATATGTGCAAGTTGAGTGAATGAGAACAGGGAACTGTGGGAGGAGTAAAGATGGTGAAACCTGATTTTTTTTGAAAGAAAATGTTACTTGGGAGAATATATACAAAAATACATCTCACTTTCTCCTGTGTCCACATATTAATGGTTTACAATAATGTTCTCTATGCAAATACTTGAAGAATGCAATTCATTGTGCCTTTTGCCTGGTTTTAATAAATTTGTCAGTTGTCATTAACAAGTGTGTGTGTCGTTAATCACCATGTGCCATTTGGTTACCTCTGTTTAAACCTTCATTTTACATGTGGCATTTGTCCACAGATGGCAAGATAATGAAGGAATGACTTTTATGAAATGCAGCTCTAGGCAGTGCGGAAAGATGAGTCCCGTTTACAGTCTTTTTGTAAGGTTAGATGCACTAGTCATTATACCAATTAGGATGTCAAAAAGAAGCTCGAGCTAGTTATTTGGATTATTTTCTGCTACCAAAGGAGGGCGCTGCTGGTTTATCCTCTGCCCAGACGCTGTTTCTGCTGCACCCAGCTGTCCTTCAGCCAGTTTATCCTTTAAGGCCTCACCAATAAGATCAGATAGATCATGAGAAACTTTCAGATCCACCTATAACAGTGGGGTTTTTTTTAGAAAAAGCCTTTATTTCGTTTTCCACATTCCAAAAAAACAGTATTGAAATGTTATTACAACAAGAGATTGCATATTCCCACCCCACAACCCCGTGCTGCATTTGCCCAGTGACGCTCAGGCCCAGGTATAATCAGGTCAGTATTTCAGACAGCATCTGTGGTCCAGGGCTAACTCAGCCAGATCTGGATTGAGCCAGCCTGGCAAAGCCAGCTCAGGCTTTGCTGTTCCCTGTTTGGGATTTGCTGTGAGCAAATGGGCTCCAGTCTCCCTGTGCAGCAGGATGGGAAAAACTTTTAATTGCAGCAATATCTTCCTTTTTCACCTTCCAGCTCAAAATGTTATTTCTCCCATCTCTTCATCCTCCCCACTGATAAGAATCCAAGGGGGTTTTGAAGGTGAGCAATGTGCAAGAGTCCAGGTAACATCCATACTGTACTGAGAAAGATAGAGAGATGTGATCAGGACCACTCTGCTATAAGCTGCATCCCCACAGCTCTGCAGAGCATCAGCCAGTTGTGCCTGTTTGGCTTTTATTACACAGCTCATACCTCCCTCTAAACAACAAAAGCAATAAAGCTTTTGTGTTTAAATGACAGCAGGAAATGTCATGGGACTCAAAGAGCTGGGATGCTCTTCAAGGTCAAGACATTTCCTAAGGGAAAAAAACACTTAAAATTTACAGCCATTTGGTCTTTCAGCCTGAAAAATCTTCACAGGACACAAAATCTTGAAGACAGTGGCAGTGTTTCTCCTAACATGGAGTTTACCTTACCAGAGCTCCCCAGCTTGAGCAGGGGCTGCCCCTTGCTCAAGTTAGGTCCAGATCAGGCCCAGTGGCTTCACCAGCCACATCAACGTGGCCTGGGCAACCAAACAAAACCCCACATAAAGCTAGGTAACACTGTGCTGCAGGGAAACTCCTGCACCTCACCAAAAACAAAAGCTGAAAAAGATTTCTTTGCCACGGCCCAAGAAAATCATTTCATGGGTCACTGAGCCTGAGTAAACGCCTATTCCAGAATTCACCACGTTTTGCCCATATTCAATATTCTTGTCCCATATTTGCAGAACAAGTAATTAAACAAGGATGAGCAGAGTTTGAATAGAATGTGTGCACTGTTCAGTCCTTGTCTCTTACCTTCGTTGGAGATACTGGTGTGTATTTTGGAGTTCATGCAAGTGTCTAGAAAGAGAGAAAAAAAAGACAAAAAAACACTAATCAATGATTCAACCAGGGCCTGGAAATAAACACATCAATGGCCACCCAGGGAAGGAGTACAAGAGTAAATGTTGGCATTCCTTGCCAAGAATAAGAGATGTGAAGCTCCTCTCCTCAGAGAGCAGCTTTGTCCCAGGGGTAGCGTATTTCAAGAGGATTTTCATTTGCAGTGGCTGCATGTATTAAAGCCCAGTAAGGATTAAACCCACCCCTTGCTGCCACACCATAACAAAGATCCAATCCAAAAGCCCACAGAAAGACTTGGCTTGACTTTACCAAGCTCTGGATAAGACACTGTTGGTTTATTTTTCTGCTTTTCCTTTTTTAAATTGCTCACTAGTATCCAGAATATTGACATCAACCCATTCACCCAACCTCCAGACCCTCGCATATAACATGCTAGGTGTAGATCATGAATACTTTGGGTTTATCCTCTGGGGCGATGCTGGAGTTGTCCACCTCTATCAGGATGTTCTTGTCGTCTCGGGTGACTGGCTCTTGCTGTCCACTCTGGAGAACCTGTGGTAGATTCCCTAAACTGACATCCATGTCTTTGAAGGCATGGAGTAAAAACACTCCCAAAATGATGGTGAGGAAGCCACAAACTGTCCCAATGATGTCAACTACAGTCATGGTGACCCACTCCTTAAAGAGGATAACTGAAGTTGTGATGACGATGGTAGTGAACAGCACATAGTAGATGGGAAACACCAAAGATGTGTTGAAAATGTCTAGAGACTTATTGAGGTAGTTAATTTGTGTAGTGATGGACGCCACCAGCGTGATGACTAGGATCCACGTCAGTGGGTGCTGAAGCACAGGCTGGCCAGCAAAGAAGCCCTTGATGGCAATACCCAGGCCCTTGACTGAGGACACGGAGAAGGCACCAATAACAGAGCAGATGGTGAGGTAGATGAGGATGTTGCTCTGGCCATAGCGGGGTGCGAAGTAGAAGATCAGGAGGAAGCAGACAGCCAAGAGGATCGCAGCATAAGCAAGGAAACCTGGAAGAGGGAGAGAAGTGACTCAAAACTGAGCGGTGGGAATGGGGAGCAGCACGTGCTGCCGAGCCCCAAGAGAGAAACCACAACCTCCTGCATACCTGGTTCTTTCAGCTTAGAAGACATTTCATCCAGAGTGGTGACCTCCTCGTCCTCTGGGGCATGTATCACCATCACGGTGCTGCCCACAAGGCTCAGCATACAGCCCAGCTTTCCCAACAGGTTGAGCCGTTCTCCAAGCAAATATGAAGACAGGATGGCACTGCATGGGACAGAAAAACGCCAGCTGATGCTTTAAAGTCCGTTATACAAGGAACAGCAGCTTAAATATGGTAAAGAATATCTTTGTGTGATATAAGAGCACGAATTTGGAGTACATTTTTGGATTCCAGTGAGTTAATACACAATCACATTGCACCTACTGACAGATGAACCTGCAGAGATGTAGGTGTGATCTCCAGATCACAGTTCATGTATCAGCAAGGTGAGAAAAATGCTGAATGTGTTAGCACATCCTAAGAAATATTTTCAGGGTTTACAGGCTCAGTCCTGAGCTGTTGGCCATTATTAAGCCTTTAGAGCCCAAGGAAATTACTTCTGAGAAACACAGAGTAAAAAAAACCCCAACCTAACAACAAAAGAGTTACATTAATTGTAACTAAATCATCAGAACTATTAAGCCCCAGAGAAACTCTAAAGGTACTGGGGCTATAGATATATCTGCAGAAATATCTAGGTGGTGTCCATAAAAATTTGGGGCAAGACACCAGAGCAGTCCTAACTCTCAGGTTGCTCATGCATTTCATGATCATACTTTCTATAAAATCTTCCATACCTGGAATCATGTATTTTGATATGAATCGCCTTCTTAAAAACAAATAAAATAGGGTTTCAGCTCTTTTAACAACAGACAGAAATATAAATGCACAACATCAGAGCACCCTGAAAGCCTAGGAAATAAAAGGCAAATGACAGAGTTTAAAAACAGAGCCTGACATTTTGGCCTTTCTAGATTTTGGTACTGTTCACTATGAGAACAAAACAAAACAAACAAATAAAACCTTGGATTGGCTAAAGAACTGTAATAAAGAAGAAAATAACACTGACATTTGCAATAATTTATGTCCCAAAAGGCATGCTACTTAATTCGTCGGTTTCCAAATGATCCCCCAAAAGGACAACAACTAGAAATCACTGGACATTTTTGCCTTTAGGCAGTATAAATCATAGTTCCATCACTTCAAGTCTTTCTATCTTCCAAGACAAACAAGCAAACAAAAAGGCAAACTACAGACACATAAATCACCTTATGAGAACGCTCAGAGCCCCCAGAGGCGTAACAATCGTTGCAGGAGCGAAGGCATATGCAGCAAAGTTGGCAGCTTCCCCTCCACCCACTAAATAAACACAAGAAAAATAAATAGCAGTGAGTTACAGCATAATTTTTGTGTTTCCTTTTGGGGGGTAGTAAGATATCAGTTAGAGAGTAGCTTTTCTATGAGGGGTTCCATGCTGCTGTTGAACAGGGCCAGATAGTGGGTGCAATTCTATTACAGATTAATACAAGCAGAGAGACATCTCTGGAGCCTGACACCAAACAGAGCAGGGCTGGGGGGTGCCAGGGCTTGGCCTCATCACAGCTGGTCCATATGAGCTCATTAACACAAGCAGCTGCATCGTATCTGGGTGGTTAATGAGGGGTGGGCAGTTGTGGGAGCTGCAGTGCTGGGAAGTAGCTCCTCACCTACAAAACGTCTCTTCATGGGGTTATGATGTTGCTCTTTGTCTGGGCTATCCTTGTCCCCTGAGCAGTGAGTATTGTGTGCTTGCTTGTGGGATGTGTTACAGCGGTTGTGCAGCAGGAGCTACAAGGTGGGAGTACCTGGAGTGGCTGTGGTGCTGAGGGCTACTAAAGGCTGCTCTGAAAAGCTCTCTCATAAAACCTGCTGCTCTCTGCACTTGCATTTGAGAAGATACTGTAATGCACAGCATCAAAAAAAGGTTTTAAGGCTGGCTCTAAGGGAAAGCAAGCTTTGCTCAAGAAAGGAGCTGCTACCAACGCCTCCTTATCACCCCTGTGCAGCAGCAGGAACCTTTCCCAGAGGCCCCAGGCATGCATGGGAGGCTGTTTGCTCTGTGCCTGGTATGGGAGCGTGCCATCCAACTGCCTTATTGAAACCTGGCTTTTCATGCATCTGATCTGGTAAAACTGAGCTGTTGAGTCCTACGAGCCCTGCAGGAAGATGGGAGATTCTGTGTGGCTCACTGCTCTCCTTGAGGTGCCTCTGCTGAGGATGGGGGAACTTACCAGAAAAAAGGCTTTAAACCACTAGATGCTGGACTCATTCCACACCTGAATCACAGGGACAGACACTGGAAAAGCTGAAAACCCGGGGAAGCAGATTCTACTTACTGGTTAACAAGCCAGCCCACCAGAGCCAGTCCTTTAGGTAGCCGTGGCCTCCATCTCCTGGGGAAGCAAAGCACACAGGTATGGAGAGTTAACAACCATGTTCTTCAGAGCAAGAGATGAGAAATGTACCTTTGGAGAGGTATGAATTACAAGAGGAAGAGTGTGAGAAAGCTTCCTGGAAGGACTGAATACGGAGAGATGCTGTCCTATATGGAAATTATGTTGAATCAAGGGATTAGCAGAAGCCAGCACTTAGGGCTGGATAACACAAGTACAATAAAAGCAGTGGTTTAATTCTGGGTGACAGTGGACCCCTATTGCCTTAAAAGTTATTGGCCTGGGATGCAGCCTGCCTTGAAGGGCTTGGGGCTGCCCTTCAGCCCTGGGACCTGTGGCCATCAGGATGCATCAACCCCTCTGTGCATCAACAAACACCCCAGCTGTGCTCCCATGGACTGACCGTAAGTTGTCTTGCATGTTCCACTTGCCTGTTCCCTGTGCATTATCCTGGAGCAGAGGGATGAAGGATGGCAGGGGCTGCTCTGCGCTGGGTGCCCCCCACCCAAGACCACTCTCTGGGATTGCTGCTAGCTGCAACCTGCCTGCAAGGAGCCTGTGCTTCCCTTTGTATCGCACTGCCTCGCTGTGGAGCCTCACCTATGGGCACTAAGGTAAGGCAATGAGTTTTCTCCAAACCTTGTTTTCTGGTTCAAGTGAGGGTTATAGCTATGAAGGATGAAGAGAGGAAAAAGTAGTTGGTTGCTCTGTGCAGGCATGTGGTGCTGTAGTTTGTGTTGCTGTATGGTCACGGTAAAGGCTCCCTGTGTTCTGTCCCAGGAGTTATCATCTGTTCCATTTATACACTGTGTTGTATCATAGAGCTGAGGCCTGAACTGTCAGAAATCCTCATGTTAACTTTGTGTGCATCACTCTCTATGTTGATCAAGCATTTCTGTTGGAAAAATGATTGCTGGCATTTGACAACTAAATGAAAGAAAACGTGCATATAAATGAAGAATGGACATACTGTGCTGGGAATTAACCCAGCTCTGGTCTTAATCCACATGTTGTTAGATGTAAAGAGCTTGAGTTTGCTGATAAGGTGACCCCTGATTTTGCAGGGTCAGAGAGAGCCTGTGTTTTTGCTAAGTCTAACCTAACTGGTGAGTAACAGCAGTGTTTGACCTGTCTTGGAGAAAAATGATGTGCTCTCGGGTAGCAGGGGTGAAACACTGAAACTGAGAGATTAGAGGGCAAGATAGGAAAAAGGGGAATGAAGAGGCAGACGTGAAGAGTTCAGGATGTGGAAAATTCTTTTGCTAGAATTCAGCTGCTTCTTGCTCTTCAACAAGTTCAAATGTTATACTTTGGTATGCCTTAAAAATGGCTGATTTATTTGCTGTTGCGGTTCTTTGTTCATTTTTGTTTGGTTGGGTTTGTTTCTCAAGAACTCTTACTGTCAGCTGTGGTTTTGTCATGAATCTCTAATTCCTGGTTAAACATCCTGAAAAATAGGGAGGGGTTTGCTCTTGTTGTGTTCGCTTGGCTCTGCTGTGGGAGGCGTTCATGGAGGGAAGGAGAGAGGCGTCTTCTACAGTCAAAACAATACTGGTATTCCATTGTTCAGCAGTTGCATGTGGTCAGCCTAATGGCAGAGGAGGGAGATGGACTTGAGACTGGCCTGTGGCTCAGGTGCTGTTGCTAGCTTTGCTAGTTGACTCTGGACTCAACCCATACCTCTATGTCCCCATTTGGGGACAGTGATATTTACTTCCTTTGTAAAATGAATTAATAACTGTTCCTAGGCCAGAGCTGGGCAGCAGTAGTATTTTAATTATCATTATTTTGTTTGGTAGTTATGCAAGTAGGTCAGCTGCCAGGTAGGACTTAATGCTGCTGCTAGAGCATGTTTACAGTGCTGATGGCATGTGCCCAATTCCACAGTGCAATTCTGCTGTAGGCTGTGCTCCTCCACCATTTCCCATCCAGAAATATGTGCACATAAACACACACCTCTCCCTAAGAGCTTGGTGCTAGAGGAAAGTTATCTACGTGTCATTGAGCAACATAGCTCAGAAGTACCCTTCCTGAAGACCGCAAGCAGAGTTCACACAGATCACAGGCGTGCAGTCTTGCATTAATGAATGGCTTTTGCTGATGCAATTAAAGCACATGGGACCTCATCCTTGTCTCAGTGACTTGCTGGTAAAGCTGCCTAGTGCATCAGTAAGAGCAAGCATTGGGTCATGGAGCTGTGCTGTTCTGCTCTGTGGCATGGTGATGACTTGCACCTTTGTGCAAAGGGGCCCATTTCAAAGAGCTGTCACACTGCTTCCTCACACACAGCCCATGTAAGAGCTGTGATGGGCATGTATTATTCCTCTTACCGTGCAGTGCATGTGACTTGCTATCTGCAGTGCAAGGTAGGAGAATGCTGCCTTTAGCTCAGCCATCCCATTGCAGGGCTCTGTAAGTTAGCTCCTTAGCTCCAACACAGTGCTGATATCTGGGTCTTGCCTGCAAAAATGCATCCACAAAAGGTCTTATTTACGTTGCTGATGGAAGGCTGATGTGTATCCAGAGGTGTTCTCTTGCCTTGAGTGCTGGAGTTCTGGGAACAGATGGATCTCCCTCTTCTTACCCCCACAAAAGCCTTACCTGCCCTGGTGCCTCCCTTCTCCACCAGCCGTAGCAGCCCCTTCTTCTTGAGGATGACGCTGCTTCCGATGAGGAAGCTGGAGAAGACAGCCAAACCCAGGCCAATGTAGAATCCATAACTGGTTTCCAGCTGAGTTACCCAGGAGTTATCCGAAGTCCCATTGTCCCAGACAGGGTCAGCATTGCTGATCACTTGGCACACAACCCGGTGGGAAAGGCACGAAAGGGTGAGCAGAGACCCTGTGAGACCACCATGGAGATAAAACAGCAAATTATTGATATGACTATCAACCGTGCCTCTACCGGCCTTTGGACTCATTCAGATGTCCCTCTGAGCAGCCACCTGAGCTTTCACCCTAACAGCACAGACCCACCAGGTCTCAAAACTCAGGACACCTCTTTAATTGCATATGGAAATGGCAAGGTGTTGAGAGATAGATTTATGGTGTGCAATTCAAGCAGCTCATTGACACTGAATGTGCCTGCCAGTCTGGAAAACTGGCACAGGCTTTGAACTGGAAACTGGAAAGCCACAAGGACCACTATAATAATGAAATTTGAGTTTCCAAATATTTATGCCAGAGTGTCTCCACCAAACTCCAATGTCATGAGTGTGAACTATGCCTTATCAACACTCAACCTTGTTAATTCAAAGGCTCTGGTGCTTTCCAGCCAACTAATCCTTGTCTCTGCCAGCTCGCCAGCTTTGGGTTTGCTGTGGAGTGATGCCAGTACTTTGTAACTGTGCATCTGTTCCAGTTCTGTGTTCTGAGCACTGCCATGGGATCACTTGTAAAGAAACAACGGGCTTGTCCCAGACTAAACTTTAATCTCTGTGTTGCCTCTACTGTCTAAGGTGTTTATTTTGCCTATTTGGCAAGTGCCTAGCTGCACATAAAGCACACCAAGCCCTGCCAGTGTGGAGGACTGAAAGCAGGTAGTTTTCTGCTGTTAACACCAAAAGCACTAACCCTCCATGTCTCTAGCTAAGGTGTGTTTGTGCATGTGGGAGGGAAAATTGCAGTTTATTCCTACCATCACGCCCCTACCACACCCAGCACATCTTCCTATTGCAATCTTCACTCCGAGTGTAGTAAAGGCAGCATGACTGTGACCGTGGGGAATGGAGCAGCCAGGCGGAGCATCATGAAAGTCCATTTATAGGAAAATACTGTAATTTCCTACCTAAACTCATGTAGGAATTCCAGAGCAAGTATATGTCTTGCAGTGCCATGGCTGAACTCCTTGCAGTCCTGCTGGCAGCCCTGAATTTACCTGGACTGAGAGACTGGCTTTGTGCTTCTGCTGCTGCACCCCCTGTCCCTGGCAAAGCTGAGGATTTGGATCTGAACTGGATCCAAACTTTTTCTAATGGAAAAAATCCAGTGACTTTCTAGATGAGTTTCCAAAGGCTCCTTAATAGGGTTCTTTTCCAAGAGAAAAACATCTTTGATCGTGGAAATGTTTCTTGAGGGGGACATCTTGCCTCCTCGGTGGGGGTAACACTCTCCACAATGTGCTACTGGGCACAGACGTAAGGCAGTGGGATGGGGCGATTACCAGATGGATCAGGTAATTTTTAAAAGAGAAAAACTAAAACCCTAGCTTCTATGTCTGCTGTAAGGCCGGCAGCGCTCGCTGCTGGCAAAGCAGCTGCGTGTGGCTTGTGCATGAAGTGAGTTTCCCCGTTCCTGTATAGACCTCGGAAAAAGGAAAAGAACCCCCAAACCCAGAAAACCAGAGCAGTGACAGAACAGCCCGAAGCCGGGGAGGGTAAGAGTGGGGCCACCTCCCCGGGATTCGCCCCGCTCGCCCCGCGCTG